GCAGTGGTTAAGGAATTTTAGAATTTTGTTATATGTAGCTTGTGAATTCACAATTAAACAGTTAAAGAATACACTGATATCACCTCCCTGACCAGAGCCTGCTGATTGGACAATAATAGAATAACATCACCAAGTTCGCCATCTCCTAGTGTCAGCATTTTACATGTCAGCACGTGTGCACATACAGCAAGGCCTAAGAAGCTGAGTGTCTGCATGGTGCTGTGCAGGGGATAACGAGAGGCTAATATCAAAACAGATTAAAGTGATTCATGCCCATATGTTAGTTGTTTAGAAAATGTATTTTTTTTTAAACGTGCAGTCTCTCTGAATTTCAGCCTATTATTATAATCATACTTATTGTTTGTACAATACAATGATAAAACTGTAAATCTAAATTAATTATAAATTCTCTCATTGTAGCTTTGTGCCATATAAGGTAAAATTCCATTAGGATATGAATGTGAAAGGTTGTGGCTCCATCTGGTGGACGTTTTGTAACACCGCAACACACTTAATAGGAAAACTGTGGGGATAGAAATAGAAAGAGCGACCTTTGCTGTTATTGAACTTAGAATTCAGAAATCAGCATTTGGAATTTGGAACTGAACATATGTAAATCGGAAAAAGGAATGTGGAACTCTGAACTCAGAATATGGAACTTGGAAGTTGGAACTCGGAACCTAGAATTTGTAACTTGTAATTTTTACTAATAGTTTTCAAAGGTGCAGGTTCTGGGGCAATTGCCATGATTTTACCCATTGTATGAGTCACTAATCAGTACAAGGTATGCAGAAGTTGGAATTGAGATTTTTAATTCTTCATTGGCTGCATGCTTTTTGCTTTAGTGACTCATAAGCAGTGAAGACAAACTTAGCATAAGAACCCCGGAGCCTGTGCCTTTGAAAACCAAGTCCACACTCGTAGCAATCATATATCTGTCCTCACGGAATAATGTGAGTAATTGTGTAATTCTAGGACACTTACTGAAAATGTAGGGTTGCAGTACTGGCCTATATCTTCTGGTCTGAAAGTGATATGGCCAATTACTTGAGCAATATTTATTCTGGTGATTTTAAATAAGTTCAACTAATTTTATTGTTTCAGTTAGCCAACTGCGTTTTAGCTCTAGTCTTTATGTACATTTCCTTTTACTACATTATGTACTTCAACTATTGCTGTTAAAATGAGCCAAAGAACAATAAATGGTATACCCACACCTATGCGTAATTTATTTGAATGATGACTTATTGCAGTAACTGGCTTATTGCAGTTAACTGTCAACGTTAGACAAAGGAGGGAATTTGTTAATTGTTTGTGCCTATGGATTCTATATGCAGGAAAACACTGATAAATAACACAAAGGGGCTTATTTATAAAGCAGTGTATATGACCTTTGCAAACAATAATTGCAGGTCAATAAATTACTGTAATTTAGCCTGGGTTCACACTGATGCGGTGTGGAATTCACAGCATTTTCTGCGCGAATTCCGCACCGTATCAGAATCTCACTCCGTTCATGCGAACCGCTGCGGTATGGTAAGTTAACACCCCAAAATTGTGTGTGAATACTCGTATGATCCAATTCTAGTGCAGACTAAAAAAAGGGTCTTGCACCTTTTTTGTGTTGATGCGCTGCGATTTGAGCCATTTGACAAAATATATGGCTCCAGTTGCACCGCACACAATTCGCACAGGGATGTGGTGCGGTTCCTGTGTGAATCACATGCGATCAGGAGTGGACGGACAACTCATGGGGCCCCCGGGCAATAGGGGATCATGGGGCCCCTGTATCCTTTCCCACACTCAAACCACACTCAAAAAAGCCTATAAAAGGTACCAGGGGCATCTCATGGGGCCCTTTACTGACCCCAGGCCCTCGGGCAGTGCCTTAGTTTCCGAATGGTCAGTCCGCCCTTGCATGCAATATTCCGCACTGCATATGTGTGAACCCAGCCTTAAAGTGGTAGTAAACTGCAAGAGAAGAAAAAACAATGGGCCCCTGCAGGTTTAGGTCATAGTGTACTAGTATGCACTATATACTAGTACATTATGAAACACTGAATTACACAGAGCCCTCCAGTGTAGAGCTGTCACGGATCCCTGGCACTGCCATTTCCACCCGTTTTTCCTTTTAGGTTCGCGGGCTCTGGCCATATGAATTGCTGGGGCCTTGTTGACATCACTTCCGTGCATCTACGCGTGAGCCTTCGGCTACATGCACGGCTCTGCAGGTCCGACATGATATGCTGTCCCTTCAAAACGCATGCACAGATGACGTCACTGGCAGTATGTTATGTGCATATCTCCTAGACAGTGCAAGTTTAGGAGATGTTCACTGTGCCTACATGTTCGCCTTAATATAGGCTTACCTATAGGTACAAGTTCTAAAGTGGACTTTACTTCCACTTTAAAAGACCTGTACCTTAAAGATTCACCTGTAGTGAATGTTTGGCGAATGTCCTAATCACTTCTTTATCAATATGCCTCAATGTAAATTAGATTCTTGAAGCATTTTAATATAATTTGCTGCGTTCACAAAAAATATCTGTGACTCTTTTGAAGCAGAGAGACATTTTGTACATCGAACCATTGTTCCCTCTCTCTATTCCTATCAATATCTTTGGCCATAAAACATGTCCTCAGTTCACAAAACATTTTGCATTAGTACAGGTAAACTTTGGATATTACAACAAATCCCTAGTCCAAAACGGTTAAACAACAGAAATCCTATTAACAAGACACCGTTACGATTAGTTATTTCATAGGGGCATTCATATAATAAATAATTAGGTTTCTTTTTCAGACCAGAGATAGTCATTAGCTCTATATGAACTACATAATGTAGTTTAGAATTCAATATTTAAACATGACATAAATGATTAAATATGACTTAGTAGGGAGTTCATACATATATCAAGTCATGGAAAATGCTTTAAAAAGAAGAACTCATCAGCCACTGGCTCATTTCTCATTTGTTCGCAATTCAATTGCTTAAAAGACAATTACATAATGAAATCATTCCCAGTGGCTGTCCGCTCAGTGGGCTGGCAAAGGCTGCATTTTGACCAGAGGGTCTTCTTTATTGTAGTAGCTATTGGATTTAAAGCTAATGTTTCAACCATTTAAAATATCTTGAACACAATGGGTAGGTACCACAAGGTGGCTGCTGATAACTTTATCAGATAGAATTCCCTTCTCTTTACCGCTCTGATATAGTTGAACTTAAATACTAGGGAAAATTTCCTGCGGAGTCCTGCCCCCCCCAAAAAAATTGCACAGCTCCAGCTTGGTCCACCTTGGCAGTCCCCCTTATCCTCTCAGAAAATTTTGTGGCTGTGAAGACTTGAAGACAGAAGTGGATGACAACACATTCCCGAATAAATATGGTAATTGCATATGGAATAATACAGGTGCTATAATTACTGATATTTATGTATGTGAGCTTGCTCAACAAACCTTACATTAACCATTTGTAAATGTATACAGACTAGCAAGCAACAATTATGTAATACTTGTTTCCATTTTACATATACTATAAAATATTTATGGGGAAAGTTATGAGGAAATATGGACATAATTAAAGGAACAGTACAAGAAAATGAAGATCAACTTGCTGAAAACAGAAAAATACATAAATGTATTGGGGTTGAGCCAGGTGAGTTGATAATTCAGGCATGTGGGAAACGTCTGTCTTATGGTTAATCCATCTTTTGGGAGTATCACTGCATGCTCTCAGGACTACTTGTGAATTCTAGAATGTATGTGTAGCTTAAGGCAAGTCCTGCAGGCTGAAGCATCAGATTGAGATAAAAAGTGAAGGTCTTTGCAGAGTAAAGACATAATTGCAGGCATTAACAGGTTTTACCACTGCTCAAAAGAAGAATACCAGATCATCAAAGTACCCATAACTATAAGATTGTCATTGTCCAGTTTGCATGACTCAATGTTCCTTCATAGATCATTTGATTATAACATTGTTTAGAGTTTGCATCCTGCAGCATAAGAAACTAATCTCTATGGCTTTATAGCAGCCCTGTTCATAATAGTTTAAAGTGGCAACAGATTAATGATGCTTAAAGGTAATAAGAAGATTATGTAGACTGCCATCGCTGACCTCTCCTTCTGGGGATAATAATTTCCTGGCTGTTATGCTCATTCTGGGGCCTCAGTACTTTCTGAGTAGCTAAACTGAAACCAGAATAAAGGTAATCAGATTTGACTTTTCTCTGACTTTCATTTTATTCGTGTTATTGGCAAAGTAGTATTGAACTTATATACATACAGGCAACTAGCATTTCCAGAAGCAATTCAGCAATGGAAACCCAATTTTTCTTTTATAACAAGTGTGCTTTAAATGATAAGTATACTTTAAAGCGTATGTAACCTCTAATAACGAACTTTCTCCTATTTTTTCCCTTCTGCTTTAACCAGTTATGGACTTTGGATGCACCACACATACCCCAAAAATCCTTCATTTAAATACTTCTCCCCCACAGCTCAGAATAGATGATGGTTACTATTCAAAGGTGTTGGTTAGTTTGCAATATGAGTATAACAGAATTGACACAGGAAATTTCAATGTTTTTGCCCCAAACACAAAAAACAAAGAATAAAGACAAAAGAGAGGCCAATGAAGTATGTGGGAAAGTAATCTACATACCTATGCATATTTTCAAGGTTTTTTTAATACAATAATCAGTAAAGGTAAAATCCAGACATGATTAACAAGATTATGTATATATTTATAATTACATAGGTAATTAATGCTAATGTGATCTTTATCTGCTGGAAATATTTAATGATCTAATACATTTTTTTTTTCTTCCCAAGCATGCTACCCATAACCATGGTAGACCCTACCACATTTTTCTCATTTTAGGCAAAAGTGCTTTTAGAATGGAAAATGCATATTTTCTAGTAGGCATTATTTGATTATTAATGATTAAAAAAACATACTTTTTTTTCTCCTACAGTCTCCAAAAGTCCACAGCTACCCAGATATGGAAGCTGTACCCCTTCTCAACAATGTGAAGGCTGAGCCTCCAGAGGACTTGTTAGCCACAGACCATTTCCAGACACAGACAGAACCAGTGGACTTGTCAATAAACAAGGCTAGAACCTCACCAAGAGGAGTGTCATCTTCTCCACTCTCCATTGCAACTTCTGCAGCTTCACCTTCAAATTCTTCATCTTCCTCCAGCTGTCCTGTTTCATCACCAACCGTGATAACTTCGGTACCATCAACAGCATCAGTGCCAACAGTATTAACTCCAGGGCCACTTGTGGCTTCAGCATCTGGGGTCGGTGGCCAGCAATTTTTGCACATTATTCACCCCGTCCCACCTTCAAGTCCTATGAATCTTCAGTCTAGTAAACTGAGTCATGTTCACCGTATACCAGTTGTTGTGCAGTCAGTTCCTGTTGTTTACACTGCCGTGCGATCACCAGGAAGTATGAATTCTACGATAGTGGTACCTTTGTTAGAGGATGGTCGAAGTCATCTTAAAGGTAAGCATTGCAGCAAATTATCAAAGTAATATGACTTTTTTTTGGCATGTTACATATCTATTGATCTAATGCATGGGTCTTCAAACTATGGCCCTCCAGCTGTTGAAGTACTACAAGTCCCATCATGCCTTTGCCTCTGGGAGTCTTGCCTGTGGCTGTCAGAATCTTGCAAGGCCTCATGGGTCTTGATGTTCCTCAACACCTGGAGGGCCATAGTTTGGAGACCCCTGATCTAATGTATCTGATGTTAAGAAAAGGTTTGCTTATGTGTTTTTTAATACTTTAACCACAATATAATGTTACGTCCCTAAATACTATGCTTAGTTGGAGATTGCTTTGGTTTGTTAAGAATGCTTTGATTTTAACTTCATTTTTTGAGAGGCAATTCTGTCATAAAGTGGACCTTTTAGCAACTTTACAAGTCTACATGAATACATTCCTGAGTCCTTGAACTACATGTTAGTGACTTTGCATAGGCTGAGATGATATAAGTGATCAATTTCCTCTTCTGCAACATTGTAAATTTGTAGAAAGTCACAAGTCAAGAGCTGCATGGACAAGCATATTAGTCCAGGAAGTAGATGATGACTCCAGTTATGGAAATTTTACAGGATGCCTACTGAGAGGCACATGATTAAAAAAAAAGTGTATTCAGTTGGCAGTGAAACAGAATGTAGAAAGAATAGCAAATAGCAAAGACAACAAAGGACAAAAATTACTGACTCCCACACAGTGTTAATTTTTACATCAAATTTTGATTTAGTTTTAGTCATTGTCCTTTGATTAAAATGCCTCTTTAGTTTTAGTTGTATTTTAGTTATCTGAATTGTTTTAGTTTTTTAGTCATATTTTGGTCTACCAAATTCTCCAGTAAATTTTAGTTGACTAAAATCTAACGGGTTTAGATAAATTGTAATGCCTTATTTAAGCATTCTAGAATTTCTCAACTCAATATATACTCCTGGAGTAAAAATCTAATAACATGTTATTATATATGGTATTAAGGTTTGAACAAACTACACAGACACAGATTTAGCTGTTCTATTACGTCTTTATAAGTAAAACCAAGTTTTGTTACAAAAATGTCCCTCCCTCACATTTTCATTCCATTTTCGTTTGTTGATGAAAACTGGAATTGATTTTTGTAATGTTCATAAATCGGCAAAAATTTGAATTCATTTTCTATTAGTTTTCGCCACTGAAAACATGCCACTGACTGACTAAATGATGATGATAAATATTTCAACTAAATTAGCACTGCTTCCACATTGGGTAGACGGTGTTAACAAAGATGTTTGGTATATAATATACAGTTGTGCTTCTACTGGGGTGGTTGGGAGGACTTCACACTAAATTCATCTCGTATAGGAAGATTTCTAAGCAAATGCTTTAAAACTGAACTTTACCCATAACAACTTGATGAAAAATAATGTTCTTTAGCAAGGAACATACATTCCACATTAATTATTATGCTACCAAAATTAGGGTGTGCTGTAAATTGCCTCCAGCATTGCTCCTGTTCCTTTTTGTTGTAGGCTGCCATTTTGCTAAATCCCAGAGCCTCTCAAAAGAAGTAAATCATAAAGTGGAACTAAACCCATTGATGTACCAATTTCAAAAAACCGTTACATTCCTGGAATGCCAGGATTGCTGTCACATTTGTTTGTTTTCCTCAACCAAACCATTAAATGGCTGGTGTCATAACTGGTCGCATGTGCAGCACCATTGCATTTGGAGATCAAACAAACAGCTTCCTTGGCTGTAAAGGATAGGAGGGTGTAATTACACTTTAAGGCTGTCAGCAGATCGGCCTCTACAAATCTGGAAATGCCTAAAATGGAGAGCAACTGAGCATATGCAAAGCAGGGCGAGGTAGTGTACTTGTCAGGGATCCCCTCGATCCCTGCCGCGATGGTCCCGGCGCAGGCGCACTGCTCCGCCCTGTACACGGGCACTAGGTCCGGGCCGGCCGCGGCGTTCGAGTTCACGCATGCGCAGTAGAAGCCGCGGCCGCCCGCTGGGCACCAATGGCAGCGCAGGGCGGGATATTTAAATGTCCCTGAGCTGTCATTTCGTTGCCTTCTGGTCTTACCTGCTTCCTGTGATTCTGAACCTGTGCCTTGTAAGTTTACTGACCCGGATTGTTCTTGACCTGCTGATTTCTCCTGCCCAGACCCTTGCTTTGCCTGACCTCTCTCCCTGGATGCCCCTCATTAGATCTGACCTACTGTTGCTGACCTGGCGTGTGACCCGACGATTCTCTGCCTGCTCCCTTGTACCTTGCCGTCCTCTACGTTACCAACTCGGCCTGTCTGACTTCGCACTTGCTCAGCCATCCATCCATCCCATCGGGGTCACCCGACCTCCTCACATCTGGCTCTCCCTGGTTGGAGCCCCTGGCGAACACCCCTACCACTGACAGGTGTGCTCAGTAGTGGCGACCTGGTCTCGGGGTACTACAAGTCCATCCCCACCATTAGGGGCCCTGGTGAACAAGTACCCTGGGGCTTAGACTCCGCGCTCTGGGCACGCCTGACCAGTGGAGTGCTAGTGGTGCCGCTCGGCGGTCCCTCACAGTACCAGAAGGCCATGACTGAGCCTCGAGGAGGACCCTCCCCGATGAAGGAGGTTTGCAGGCACCTGGCTACCCTGACGCAAGCAGTAAACTCTTTGCAGGACAGATGTTTGCAGATTGAGAATCGGTTTCAGGCCTGCACCATATCTGCTCCTGTTTCACAGGCCCCGGCTCCTGCACCTCCGGTCGCAGCAGCCCACGAGCCGGCTCCTGGGCCTTCCGCATCACTTCCTATGGCGGAACCCCGAGTACCCTTACCCGAGCGCTTCCACGGGGATCGCACACGCTTTCGGTCATTCCGTGACTCCTGTCTGCTCTACTTTGAACTGCAACCACGGACCTTTTTGACAGAATCGGTGAAAGTGGGGTTTGTTATCTCCCTGTTGCAGGGTGAACCCCAAGACTGGGCCCACCGACTAAGGGGAAATAATGATCCCCATCTGGTTACGGTTGACAACTTCTTTAACGCTATGGCCATCTTATACGATGACCCACAACGGGCGGCCTCGGCCGAGGCCACATTATACGCACTCCGACAAGGTCGGCGAGCGGCTGAGGAATACGCCTCTGACTTTAGGCGCTGGATGGGAGACACTCGCTGGAACGAGTTCGCACTTTTGCACCAGTTCCGTATGGGCCTATCTGAGGCTCTGAAAGACGAGCTCGCCCGGGTAGAGGTGCCCGAGACATTAGAGGACTTGATTGCACTCACCATTAAAATTGACCGTAGGCTACGGGAGCGCAGATTGGAGAGGTCTGGTCAGGGTCGCGAAAATACCTGGGGGTCATTCCAAGGATCCAGTCAACATACTAGGCCAAACATCCAGAACCTGCCATCTGAAGATGCTCCCGAACCCATGCAGCTAGGCCTGGCACGGCCTAAACTACCGCCAGAGGAACGCCAGCGCAGACGCTCCCAGAATCTGTGTCTTTACTGCGGTGAAGCTGGTCACATGGTACGTTCCTGCCCGCAGAGACTGAGTAAGTTCACCTCATCTTCTTTATCTATTGGCAATATGAATCCATCCTAATACTTAGTTGTCCCCCTCTCCTTTCAGCTTTCAGAAAGGACCGTGGAGGTGACGGCCATAGTTGATTCGGGGGCATGCAGCTGTTTTGTGGATATCAATTTTGCTCACCAGCAGGGTATCCCCCTCCGTCCAAAGGAGAAGGGGTTTCACATCTTTTTGGCTGATGGGTCCCAGATAAAGTCAGGGGTGGTTAACCAGGAGACACCTTCCATTGTGACTTCCATTGCCGGTCAGCACCGGGAACTCCTCCGCCTGGATGCTATTGCATCACCCCTTTTCCCAGTCATTCTGGGGCTCCCATGGTTGCGGGCCCATAACCCCCAAATTGACTGGGAAACTGGGGTTGTCTCGTTCCCTTCCCCATACAGTCGGGAACTGTGCCGAACTTCGGGCCCGGAGGTCCCCCAGGTCCTCCTGTGCTCTGAAGGGGATGCCAGCCTAAAACAAGTGATTCCTGCAGCCTATCATAAGTTTCTTGATGTGTTCAGTGAACGGGGAGCAGATACTCTACCCCCCCCACCGCCCATATGACTGTCCTATTGATCTGTTACCCGGTTCTGAAATTCCCTTCGGGCGAATTTTTCCCCTTTCTGAGCTAGAATTAGGGGCCCTGAAGGATTATATTGAGGACAGTCTCCGGAAGGGATTCATCCGTCCCTCCACTTCCCCAGCAGGTGCAGGGATCTTCTTTGTAGAAAAGAAAGACAAGACTTTGAGGCCATGTATTGACTATCGGGAGCTGAATAGGGTCACAATTAAAAATCGTTACCCATTACCACTGGTACCAGAATTATTCCAGAGCTTAAAAGCTGCAGTAGTATTTACCAAGCTGGACTTAAGGGGAGCCTACAACTTGGTTCGCATAAGGGAGGGGGATGAGTGAAAAACGGCCTTCCGCACCCGTTTCGGCCATTTCGAATACCTGGTCATGCCTTTCGGGTTGTGCAATGCGCCGGCCACCTTCCAGCACTTTGTAAACGACATCTTTAGGGACTTCCTGGACATCTTTGTCATCGTCTACTTAGACGACATTTTGATTTTCTCATCCTCCCTGGGGGAGCACAGGGTACATGTAACAAAGGTGTTGGGGCGGTTGCGGCAGCACGGGTTGTACGCTAAAGCAGAGAAATGTTGCTTTGAACAGGCTAGCGTTACATTTCTGGGTCTGATTATCTCCACCACGGGGGTCGCAATGGACCCTCAGAAGGTCTCTGCGATCCTAGATTGGCCTGAACCCACGGACAGGAAAAACACCCAACGTTTTATCGGGTTCGCAAACGTCTACCGGAAGTTCATCAAGAACTTCTCGGGTCTGGTCTCCCCCATCACTCAGAGTACCAAGCTTGGGACGCGATTCAGATGGACGCCAGAGGCACAGGAAGCTTTTGAAGCAC